AAAAGACTAAAGGGGGAGGGATGATAACAGTCTTCAGATACATGAAAAGTATCTGATCTATCAGATACACAAAAGATACATAAAAGGGATGGTGATAAATTAGTCTCATCATATATATAGTAGCCCAATGTTTGAGTGTGTGTAACGGTGAAATGCTGTCTGTTCCCTCTGGGGGGCACTGTTGCCTGAAATGCTTGCTGTTCCCTCTGGGCAGCCCATGCTGCATGGGGAGTGTGGGGCCCAAACAGCCGCTTCCTCCCCCGCGGCAGCCCAGCTGAGCAGCGCAGAAGTCAGCCACAGCGGGGGGCGAAGGGGGGGGGCGGGGTGGTGACGTGTGGCGTGACAGTGGCTCCAGGCCCCGCCCCCTGGCTGTGTACGTCACTTCCCCGCCCCCCTTTGCCTCCCGCGTGGCGCTCGGCTAACTTCTGCGCTGCTCAACCAGGCTGCTGCATGGGAGCAAGTGGCGCAAGCGACTGTTTGGGCTCCGCGCTCCCCATGCAGCATGGTCCCCCGAGTGAGGGGCAGGAGGGGAAGGAGAAGAGAAAGAGAGAGACAGAGAGAGAGGCAGTAGGAGGAGGAGAGAAGACCAACGAGGAGGAGAGACCTGAAAATCCCATCTTATGATGGGCTAATTGGCTAGTTGTCCAATAAGGCCAGGTCAAGAAGCAATGGCCTTAAATTGTGTCAAAGAAGATTTAGGTTAGACATAAAGAAGAACATCCTTACTTTAAGCACTGGAGCAAATTACAGTGTAGAATCTCTCTTAGTGAAGGTCTGAGCTGGTCTATAAGAACATAAGACTGGCCATACTGGGTCAGACCAAAGGTCCAATTAGCCCAGTAGCCTGTCTGCTGACAGTGGCCAGCACCAGGTGCCCCGGAGGGGGTGGACCAAAGACAATGATCAAGCTATTTGTCTCCTGCCATCCTTCTCTAGCCTCTGACAAAGAGAGGCCAGGGACACCATTTCTATCCCCTGGCTAATAGCCTTTTATGGACCTAACCTCCATGAAACTAGCTAGCTTTTCTTTAAACTCTGTTATAGTCCTAGCCTTCACAGCCTTCTCTGGCAAGGTGTTCCACAGGTTGACTACACACTGTGTGAAGAACTTTCTTTTATTAGTTTTATACCTGCTACCCATTAACAAAAGAATTAAAGGACACCAAATGAAGTTATGGGAACTAATAAATAACATTTCTTTATTCACCCTCTCCACACCACTCATGATTTGATATACCTCTATCATATCCCCCCTCAGTCTCTTCTTTTCTAAACTGAAAAGTCCCAGTCGCTTTAACCTCTCTTCATATGGGACCCATTCCAAACCCCTAATCGTTTTAGTTTCCCTTTTCTGAACCCTTTCTAAGGCCAAAATATCTTTGAGGTGAGGAGACCACATCTGTACACAGTATTCAAGAAGTGGGCGTACCATAGTTTTATACAGGGGCAGTAAGATACTCTGTGTCTTATTTTCTATCCCTTTCTTAATAATTCCTAACATCCTATTTGCCTTTTTGACCGGCACTGCACACTGTGTGGAACTTTTCAGAGAGCTATCCACGATAACTCCAAGATCTCTTTCCTGATTTGTTGTAGCCAAATTAGCCCCCATCATACTGTACGTATTGTTGAGGTTATTTTTTCCAACGTGCATTACTTTACACTTATCCACATTAAATTTCATTTGCCATTTTGTTGCCCAATCACTCAGTTTGGTGAGATCTTTTTGAAGTTCCTCACAGTTTGCTCCTGTCTTGACTATCTTAAACAGTTTAGTATCATCCACAAACTTTACCACCTCACTGTTTACCCCTTTCTCCAGATCATTTATGAATAAGTTAAACTATATATATATATATATATATATATATATATATAAATAAAATACTTCAGTCCCCTACACTGAGACAGGACTATACTAAATGTCTTACTGAAGTCCCATCCATTCCTATGTTTCATGAATCTATGAATGTGTTTGGGGTGGAGGAGGTGAACATCATAAAAGCTTGTCATCACGACTGTCAAGGGATCACTCGCCCCATGCCTCCTAGGGGGCTGTCTATATGGCAGTCACAGGATTGAAGGCCCACAGCCAAGTCTCTAGCTTCCCCCCGGTCTGGAGGGGTCAGTATGGCCCAGCGGCCAAGTCTCTAGCTTCCCCCCAGTCTGGGGGGGTCAATATGGCCCAGTGGCCAAGTCTCTAATGCCCCTTGTCAAGGGGCATAAGGGTGTAGTGAGGTAGCGGGGCCCAAGCCCTCCCTCTCCACCAAGCCCCAGTCCAGGGCCCTATCAATGACTGGCAGTTCCCACCACTGGCTCAGCAGGGAGTTCCCCCCCCCCGAAATGCACCGAGTCTGCCAGGTCTCCTCCCATTCCCCACCCTGGACTGATTCCTATCCCACTCCTCTGGCTGGCATAGTCCCCACCTGTGTGGACAAATACCGCTACAGCATCCGGCATGGGGTCTGGTGCAGCAGCAGCTCATGCAGCAATGGCAACAGTTGGTGCAGAGGTAGCAGCAGCTGCAGTGCCAGGCTACAGTCAGCCTGGCAGCTGCTGTCAGCGCAGGGGTTGCAGCTGGTGTGGTGACTAGAGCTCTAGCAGCAAGGACAGCTGCTCCCATGCTCCAGCAGGAGCTCCTTCACCTCCAGATGTCAGCCCCAACTGAGCTACTCCTTCGGCCTTTATACTGGGCCTGAAGGCGGAGCATGCCCAGCAGGGGAGGAGCCTTCTCAGTCCAACAGGCCTGAATTAGCCTCCCCTTAGCTAGTGTGGGGCGAGTACACCCCATCACAATAACGCATAGTGTTGTTCCTCACATTGCAATACCTTCTCTAAGGTCCCATGAATCGTATGTTTTCCTTCCTGTTCTAGGAACTTTTTTCTTTTCCGCTCATCTGACTATCTCCTTAACCCCTCTTCAGATGCCTTCAGGTTCCCATTTCCCACCACATTATTTTTAATCTTGTCTTCAATATTAAAGTCCAACATAACTGCACCAGTCTACATCCCCAAACCTCAATGCTCTGTTTTCCCACTTCTGCAATTGTCTTTGTGATGTTTTCTGTGAAATCCTCAGTGTGTAAAATGCCTTCCCAGTTCTGCTCATTTAAGTTACTGCACTCTTTTCATTTAAATCCCTCCTAAATATTCATTTTCCATGTTGCCCATAAGAAAATTTTCACCCAATATGAATAAGAAGAAATTCTAGTGATTGCTTTTGGGTTTCATAGAGCATTCTAGCTACACTGACTCTGTCTTGCTTAGACTGCAAGCTCTTTGGAGTGGAGATTGTATTTTGTGTTTTGTACAGTGCCAAATACATTGTTAATGCTTCAAATAAATAATAATAATACTAATAAATAATTAGAATGAATAATAATGAGAAGTTCTGGGACTATGCCATCCCCTCTAACTCCAACAAATCAATAACATGAAAAACAATGAGTTGTAATACAGGAGCACTACCTAAAACAGGCAGCTTTAATTAGCCAAGCTTCACCTTTTCAGCTATCGCCAATGGACATGCCAAATTACAGGAGTAATTGAGCTACAACCTCATATGCATATGTGAAGAAGAATACAGGTGTATGAGTAAGACACTAGAGCAAAGGGTCAGGAGAGGCTAACAGTGAGGGTCCTCCATTTTTATTTAGAATGACTCTCCAACTCACTCTGAAGTGGGCAAGTCATGACTTTTTTTTGTCCTCTAGACAAGCAAGCTGTAAAGCAAGCCACACTAGGTCCTTGCAGCTGCTGTAGCTAAGGATAGGTTGACATAAGGTATGCAATTTGAGTTACATTAGTAGCGTAACTCAAACTGACATCGCTTAGATCCACTTACTGTGGGATGCACACAGTGGGAAGTTGACAGAAAAAACACGCGTGTTGACTCCTCTTACTCATCTCATTCTGCTAAAGTACCAGAATCAACAAGAGAGCGACTCGTAGTTGAATGGGTCTTTCCCAGCAGTGACAGTAACTTAAAATTTCTTACAGGTAATGTCTTTTTACAACCCAGGTCTCTGGCAGCTCTTTAAATAGCTCCCTGCTGGCTTTTCCTGCATTTCAGGCAGCTCTTGCCAGAGCTGCACACTCTGGGCGCACCCACTTATTTTCACCTCTGGTCTTTACTAGACTCACTGGATCATTCGCTCTAGCATCAGTCCACTCCGTAATGGAGTCTAGCCCTCTGTTTGAGCTTTAATGTGGAAATTAATAGCTTCCTACACTCACCCACCCAAACTGGTGCTTTGTTCCTATTCTGGCTCCACTTTCATTGGTAGCAGATTTGTCTGTAATATTATAAACACAAAGCCAGAAATGTCTTATTAAGATTTTTAAACTGAGCAGGACAGCAGAGAGATTCAGATGAACTAAGTCTTAATAATCTGGAAGGGGATTCTCTCACTCAGTTTTAAAATTTCCTCCCTTTTGTGATGACAAATATTGTTGTGTATTTCCATGACACGTTTAGAATCTTACTCCAATTTTTGCTTTGAATCTTCCTCTTTTGGATGGTTACAACAGCTTGAATGATGCATCCTTCTAGAGATGCAAACAAATGACACATATATCAGCCATAGACAGAGCTACAGTAACTGCATTTGCTTCAGACATTGGATTGTCATTAAATGGCCAAAAGTCTGTTCTGTCCATCCTGTCCTGGTATATATTTATCAACACATATGAGCTAAGGATTAAGGGAACACAAGAGAAAGAAATAGAGTGCCACTAATGAATACCTAGTCTGGTTCACATAATATAGCTCCTTCTGCAATGATCCTTGTAACAGAAGGAAGAGGCTCCCTGTCCCTCAGAGAGGCCCTATATTGCCCCTCTTATAGCGATTTCCTTTGGGTGCAGGTCTCAATTGTATATGTTCTTGGGCCTTCCTTCAGCTTTTGAAGAAGTGGTTTCATGGTATAAGGTTTGTGGTCACTGACGTGCACCCTTAACAGAGCCACCTGCAGCACTCAGTTTCACTCAGTTGGGGACATCAGGCTCCAGTCAGACAGGGGAGTCTCCGGCACCAGCAACTATGAGACCACACCAACCCTGCACCAGCAGCAGCCCTCTTCAGTTGCTTGGTAAGGACACACAACACAAAGCCTCCTTCAGTTCTCCTTACTTTTTCTGATTCCTTTCTCCTTTTTTATCACTTCTGCATCCCCGCTCTCTCCCTTCATCTGTACCCTCCCTCTTCTCTTCTCTTCTCTTCTCTTCTCTTCTCTTCTCTTCTCTTCTCTTCTACTGCTTTTTCACTCATTCTCTCCCTCATACCTCATTTGGCTACCCTCTCATTCTCATCTCTTCCTTTCTTCTCTTTCTTGCACATTATTCACTCACCCTCTCTTCTCCACCTTTACAATTTCCTCTCCCCCTTCCCCATCCTCTTTAGGCTTTTGCTCTCAATGTACCCAAATCCATATCGTGTACCAGTAAAGAGAGTTCAAACTTAAGGATTAAGTAGTTGTTTTACAGTGTAAAGAATGCTAATGCTGACTTATTGTGATTGTTTTAAGCAATATAGGGGCAATTTCTTAGCTGAACCTCATATGGAATGGCATGCCAGAGTAAGACTTATTGCATTTGAGGGTTACTTGATATTGTTTCAGGGTAAATTATATAGTTTTGCTTTTTTGTTCTAGGATGGAAGAACACGTGTTAAAATGTAGCAACTTCTGCCTGATTCATTGCGATTGCAGAGTTTTTAGTTTGTAAAAACTTGGTTTTCCATTTTAAAAATCTGTTCCCAAATGTTTTAACTGTTAGGAGAAATGGAGACCACATTTATTGAATGCAAGATGCCTCAAAATTACTTTTCTTTGACTTTAAGTTTTCCTTGCTGTAAGTGAACTTGAGCCCGTTTTACCAAATTCAGGACAGCAAATCATGAGACAGGGTTTTCTGGCTCTGTCACAGCTTGGCTGTATGACTGGGAAAGTCACTTAATGATTTTGTTTCCCTGTCTGTAAAAAGTTGATAATAAAACTTACCTCTTTCCAGAGCTGTTATGAGGTATAATTCATCTATGTTTGTAAGCCTATTTGGTATCTCACAAGAGAAGATGCATTAAAAATGAAAAAGTTTATTTTATGATTTCTTGCTGCAAATGACTAATGAAATGGATAGTAAGCAAAACCTGATAGGGTTAGATTTTGATGCCTTTTCTTCAAGAAAAGCAAAGGATCTAAACAGTAATCTTTGTGGGAATCAAAGTTAGTATAGCATCCAATTCAGGGATTTATTGATCTTATACAGTGCATTATAAACTACATAGTGTTAATATTAATTAGTATTATCTATATTACTATAGTCCCTGCAGACCTCCACAGGGATCAGGACCCCATTGACTTAGGTGCTGTATAAACAGATAGAAACAAGACAGCCACAGGGTGAGAGAATGGGAGTATTATTATCTTTATTGAGCACAATGGGTAATTGTATAGGTATGTGATTTGGCAGTTGACAAGTCCAGCAGGATTTTCACCAGGGATTGTTGTTTCCATACATATAAAAATGTGGTTGTTTTTAAAGTCATTTTTAGAGCAGGAATTATGACTTTAGTGATTGATAGTAAGATTCCTAAAAATGAAGTAGCCATTTCCCAAGGCTTTATAAAGATTCTTCGCTATTTCTCAGAAGTTTGAACTGAAACAAATAAATTAGCAGGTCCAGGTCTAACAGACTTTATCCAGTTGATGTGACAGTGCCTACATAAAACTTCATTTAACCAGCAAAGAAAAGTTAAGTTAAAATTATAGTGAGAGACTCTCTAAAACTAAGATTATTAGGAAACTATAATGTTAAGACTCACTCTATCTTTTCTTCATATATTTGCAATTGCAGAAATCTCAGCACAAAGAGAATCATAGAGCACTAGGACTGGACTGGACCTTGAGAGGTCATCGAGTCCAGTCCCCTGCCCTGATGGCAGGACCAAGCACCATCTAGATCAGGGTTGGACAAGCATGGTGGATGGGCTGCAAGAGTGGCCTTCCTACATCTCAGTGGGCTATAGCACCCAGCAGCCCAGTGGGCTTCCACCTGTTGGTCTGTGATCCCCAGCTATCCTCCCTCTCCAAGCACCTCTCGCATATCAGGGCTCCAGAGTTTTGCACTTACCTGCTCTTTCCTCCTCCCTCCCAGCATTTTGGGGCCTGTGAATCACCTGATTCATGCTCTGTCCTCACTTTTCCCCCTCCCTCCCAGAGCTGGAAAGCCGCAAATCACCTATTCATGACATTCCAGCTCTGGAAGGGAGGGAAGGAGAGAGGGAGAGGCATGGAGACAGAGCAGCTCCTATGAAAGTTCTGTGAGGGAGGGGAAAAGAGCAGAAAATGTGGGGCTTTAGTGCCCTGGAGCATGAGAGGCACATGGGGGAGCAGGCAAGGGGGTCCACAGACAGAGGCCCGGTGGCCTGATAAAACCCGTGGGCCGCAAGCTGCCTACTACTGATCTAGATCATCCCTGATATGTTTTTAGAGTGTCCTATATGTTATTTGCTGCAATAACCAGGCAGCAAGAATTTGAAAAGGAATCCTGGGTGCATTATACACCAGAACTTGTTTGTTTTGTGACAATTAAAAATCTCCTTGCCTTTCTGCTTTTCTTTTCATCCTAACCGGACTTGATGCATGTGGTTAAAGGTAATTTTATCCTGAGTGAAATTAGCTTTATTTGCACAAATGCAGGCAAGTGAAGCTCAGAGAGGTGGGGGAATGGGGCTGTTGTGCAGCTGCCCTCCCCACCTTTATGCTGCAGTTTATGGGATAGAATCAGTGCCTTCTGTGTCACTTGTGGATATGCATAATCACTGAACCTGAAACTGTTTCATACAGCCTATGTGGGGCTGGCACCGAAGGTGAAAGGAAGCAGGTGAGCCCAGGTGCGCAGCTCTGGCAAGAACTGGTTGCGCTGCAACAAAAGCCCACAGGGAACTACTAAAGAGCTGTATGGATTGCAAAAGACAGCACCTGTAAGAAATTTTAAGTTATTTTCACCACTGACTGGCACTGAAATCTCTCTGCAACTACTATGGGTGCAGAGACCCCATGTGGCTTAATTATGAGGACTATGTGATGCAGAGCAATTTGTGTGGGTTTGACTCACCAGAGTTAATTTCCCTCTTGGGACAGTTTTGTTTCATTTTTATTTGCTACATTAACTTTTCATGGCAGCTTTTCATGGGGCTGCCTGAAGTTTCAGGACAAATTAGATTAATCAAGTGATGAGTTACTGATTTAGGTCTCAATCTTTCAATGACGTTAATGGACATTTTGTGTGAGTAATAACTGCAAGTTCAGGGCCTAAAAGCTCCAGAAGAGACAGCAGTTTCTGTGATTACCCAAAAGCTGAAAGACAGTAACAATGACATACATATCATGAAGTCTATGGAGAACAAAACTGAAGTGTGTAACATTCCTTTGGGGGAGTACCAGAGAAGTCTTGAGACTGGAGATTTCATTTCTGTTTTTTTAAGCACGTAGCAGAGTGACTTGGACCTAGTTTTCTGTCAGTCTCATTGTAACACAAAGATTATCTTTTTATAAAACAACAGATAAACATTCCAGAACATGTTCAGACACAGATCCATGCCACTGCCAAAAATGGTAAATCAGTGAGGCAGAATCATGTTTTATCTTGACTACATTCTCTCTCCTGAAGCATGTTAAACCTTTAGGCAATCCAAGTAATTTCTTTGTACAAGACTAGCACATGCTCTGCTTACCTGGTGAAGCACAGTGGGATCTTTGTCATATATTGCCAAATCTTTTGTGGTAAAAAAATGTAAGAAATATTATTTCAGAGCTGAAGATCCATGAAGGTAAAGAGGATTATTTGGATTTTTGCAACTGAATAAAATGGAGCTTGGTCTATCCATGCTGTATTTCTTTTGATAATGGACCATAGCATTTTCATTTGCTTTTTCTGATTATTTGAGAAATCACCAGATTTGCTCAACTTTCAAGCAGATAAACATTTAGAAGACAGCTAAGGGATATACCTAGCTACCATAGAATGCCTCCTATTCCTGACCACTGGCATCCATTCTGGGTCTGTGCTCATCAATAGTGGAGACCTTGATAAGGGAAATTGCAGGTTCCCTGCACCGCTGCACTGAGTAGACTTTCTACTACTAAAGAGAGATGTTATATTCCAGGACTGAATCAGGGCACAGAATTAATAAACTGTCCTAGTCTACTCTTATTTAAGATATTGGAGAGGGTCTAGCGGAGGGCAGCCAAAATGACTAAGGGGCTGGAGCACATGACCTACGAGGAGAAGATGAGGGATTTGGGCTTATTTCGTCTGCAGAAAAGACGAGTGAGGGGGATTTGATAACAGCCTTCAATTTCCTGAAGAGAGGTTCCAAAGAGGATGGAGAGAGGCTGTTCTCAGTAGTGAGAGATGGCAGAACAAGGAGCAATGGTCTTAAGTTACAGTGGGGGAGGTCTAGGTTGGATATTAGGGAAAACTATTTCACTAGGAGGGTGGTGAAGCACTGGAATGGGTTACATAGAGAGGTGGTGGAATCTCCATCCCTAAAGGTTTTTAAGTACCGGCTTGACAAAGCCCTGCCTGGGATGATTTAGTTGGGGTTAGTCCTGCTTTGGTCAGGGGGTTGGATTTGATGACCTCCTGAGATCTCTTCCAGCCCTATGATTCTATGATCTTTCAAAATATAACTTTCAAAATAGCTCAGCATAAAATAGCAATAACAATATCATTTAGACCCATTCATTCCATTCCTGTTGATTTTGCTGCCATTTTGCTCTGCCGAGTTGAAGCAACCAGTAACTAAGAAAACTCAAACACCTCATAGAAATGTTTACTGAAAAATCCAGGAACTTGAGAGTAGCACTAACATCAGAGATAATTAAATGGGAGAGCCTGATTGTGGGAAAGATTTTCCAGACCAACAACAAAAAAAAGGAACAGCTGTAGAGGGTAACAAAGAAAACTAACACAACCAATTGCAGATTCACAAGATGGCAATGTAAGAGATCAAGAACTTTTCAGTTGCAGCAGTCAAAACTATTATAATAATTCAGAGGAAAGCGGGACTCGGCAAAACTAGGTCACA